CCTGTCTTCGGCCCCTCCCTCGCCTCTCCCAGGCAATCACAGATCCACTTCTGCTTGCCAGAGATCAGTTTACATTCTCTAGAACTCTACAAAGAGTATCATATTATGCGTACTTATTTTTAAATCCGGCTCCATTTGCTCAGAATACTTACATTGAGATTCATCTGCGACGCTTTGTGTGACAGAAGTGGTACCAAGTGGTGTTCCATCATTTGGTTAGACCCCAATTTCTGTATTCATTTACCTGTTATTGAGCACTTAGTTTGTCTCCACTTCTTGCTTATTTTGAAAGACACTGCTCTGAGCACTTAGCGCAATCTTCGTGTAGATGTGCGCTTTCATTTCTCGTGCGTGAGCACCCAAGAGTGTTGTGGTTAGAGTGCACAAGCGTATGTTTTGACTTCTTAAGGAATCGCTGTTTTCTGGTGTGGCTGAACCGTCCCGCATCCCACGGCAGTGTCTGACAGTGGAGTGGCCTTCTCGTCTTTTTCACCTTCAGCCTCCTCCTGTGAGTGTACAGTGAGTGGGACATGAGATTTTCATTTGCTTTTCCCTTGTAACTCGTGGTGGGCGTCTTCCATGTCTCTCTTTCCCATCGGTGTATATGCTTTGATGAAGCACCTACCCGAATCTTTTGCTCCTTGCTTTCTTATTATTATTAAGTTTTGAAGATTTTTTTTTATATTTTCTAAGTGTATATCCTTTATCAGATAAATGCTTTGTGTGAATTTTCTTTCCGTGTTTGGCTTGTCTTTTCACTCTCTTTAAAGAAACTTTTGAAGAGCCAAAGATTTTAATTTTAATAAAAACCAACTTTAAATGTATGAAAGCTGGGCATGGTGGTACATACGGTCCTCCCAGCACTCAGGAGGCTGAGACAGGAGGCCTGCTGCGAGTTTGAGGCCAGCCTGGCCTACACCGTGAGTTCAGAGCCAGTCTGAACTGCACAGGGAGACCCTGTCTCAAAACAAACAAACAAAAAGTGTGGATTATGAAAGAAAATTGACAGCAGGGACTCCATGTTGTGATTCAGGTGCCATCTTGTGCTGTGGTGGCCACTCTATAAACCTGCTGACATGCTGAGGGAAAGTTACGTGCTGAGGAGGAGCAGCCTGAAATTGTATATGCTAAACTCGTGCTAGAACAACAGTAGGTGTAGGCTGACCTTTACTGAACTGGTGAACTATAGAAGTAAGTTTATCCCCCCAAAATAATTCTTACACGTCCTCTCTTTTATTTATTTATTTTTTTTAATTTATTTATGTGTGTGTGTGTGTGTGTGTGTGTGTGTGTGTGTGTGGCCAGCTCAGCCCACCAGGGGGCAGGGCTGACTGGCATGTGGTGCTGGGGGATTGAACCGCGGTCCCTGTGCTTTGCTAAGCTTGTTCTAAGTAGGTGCTTTAGACCACTGAGCCATCTCACCAGCCCTGACGTCCTCTCTTTTAGCCTTAAAAAGAGTCTCGAAAGCTCTCCCTAGTGGGATACATTCTGGTTTCCTCTAGACTCTGTTGCTCCCTGAATTGTAATTCTAAGACCCCAGACAAATGACTTTTTGCT